AGGAATATTTGCCAAAGACAATAGCTACTCAAATGTGGTCTCAGTGGTGAACACAGTCTTCTTCCATGCTTTGTAATATCAAATAAATGGGGTATATTTTTGGCGCTTATAAAAATGGTAATATTTGGTACAATTTTTATTAGTTTGTAAAATTTGAAATAAAGTAAAGTAACTCAATTCTAAATTATGCATTTAAAATTATGTTGTAAACAATTTTATATATCACAGATGCATAAATGCAATAAACTGCAGTATACTATACCAATGAACAAAAAAGGTAAGTTCCGCTGAGTATACCTACCAGAATGACTGCGTTCGGAATATCTTAATGATATCTTTGTGATCAGGAATATCTTATTGATCAGGGATATCTTAGTGATCGGAATATCTTAATGTTCAGAATATCTTAATATCTTAATGGTAATTAAGTAATTCTGTTCAATATAATCATATATGAATATCAGATTTTAATATAATTATTACTTAATTATTAATGATTACTTAATTATAAAAGTAAAAAGAAAACTCATTGAACACATCAAAAGACAAAATTGTGATACCGTCGCAAACTGATAGCATCTTAGATTTGCGGTATCAGTTGCGTCAAATAATTCCATACTTTCAATATCCTTTGATTTATTATTTTAATCCGAATAACAATATTATTTGCTTTTTCGAGTTTATGCAGTTTATTTAGGAAGCTTTATTTATTGCGATATTTATGCAATAAAATGAATGAACCGAAAATTAATGATTATAATCATTACATATAAGAAGTGAGTTCAATTACGAATAGATTGACCTGAATTAATTTGATTATATATCTAACTCTTTTTTTGATATGTATAAGTATGATTTGTTTCTCAATTGAAACCTATTATTGGGATGATGAATGGCTTACAAAAGAGTTGTTAACATGCAAATTTCACTAAACATTAAAACCTATCTGCTTTAATCTCAATTCATAACAATATAACATTTTTAGGGTTTCACCTGGTTCAGGCTATTATAAAAATTTTTGAACATTGAGGCTAAAAAAAATGAACCAAGTAGCTTAATATCTTCTTGGCTCATTTTTGATTTAATACATACCTTTCTGTCAGTTTTTAGGCCATAAAATAGTTTCAAATTATGCTTCATTTTTTCTTTTGTATATCTAAAATTTAACAAATATCCATAATTTAGTCCATTTTAATTATAAGAAATTTTAATTATAAGGGAGAATAATTATAAGAGAAAAAAGAGGTCATTTTTTTCTCTTATTTATAAATTATGTTAAAGTATAAAAACGAATTGCTGAAATGAAATATTCTGTTATATTTCCATTATTTGTTAAAATTGTTGTTCGACGGAAAAATTCCTTTCAATTAAAATAATTCCGTGGGAAAGGTAACATGAACAGAATTAATAGATCAGTAGTCAGTGATCGGTATCTGTGAGATTTTGATAGTTCGAATTACTGGGCCTTCCATCTCTTTCAATTCATTGCTAACATTTCACTGCTCTTTCTGATGATTATAATAATAATTGTGGTGATGGTGATAATAATGATAAGGACGTTCGATGTTGATAATCTTAATGATCTCTTTTATTTATGATTACTGCTTGATTTAACAATGATATAAATGATGATGATGATGATAACATGATAATGATAATTTGAAATGCAACATTTTATTACTACTATACTAATGGAAGTGATAATGAGAATTTATCATTTTAAAAATTACAACAAAAAATTATTTTCAAATCCAAAATTCTCCCCGCCATTTCTATTGCGGTCATTGTTGAGGATAAAAGATATTTGACAATTGTATTTCGTTTAAATAAGAACAATTCAGTCTTATCGAAGTATTCATTCTCTTTTATGTTTACTACCTTTTTTGCGTTCTTTTAGGTTTCCTTTGACTCATCTGAGAAGCATTCCAATTTCAAATTAATGAAAATTTGTAAAATCCCAGGATGTAAACCTAAAATTTGAAACTTTCATTTCAAGCATAAAAAAAGACTGGCTGGTACCAGCCATAAATGCAAAATAGAGGAATGGACTTTTTATGTTGTTGTTAATCATGTTCATTCATGCTTGAAATGAAAGTTTCAAATTTTTCAACTATACTTAGTATTATTGAATTATTGCTTACTACTGATTTACTATTAGTAATAACTATTCAATCGTTTACGTCAAATTATAGATAGTACTTCAATAATAAGTATAGGTTACTAATTTACTATTAATAATAGCTATTCAATCTTTTACGTCAAATTATAGATAGTACTGGGTGGTAATTTCTATAGGAAGATTTTTATAATACATTAAATGTTTGAATCCATCTATATCATTGTACCCAATAATTCTGTCCATTTCTGACTTTAGCAATAATCTGATTTGATTGGTAACGGTGTCTGTTTCACCTATAACATTATCTACAATAAAATTTTTACGTGGATAATATTAATGGTCATTAAATGAATGGTCATTTTTCTTTTGATTTCTTAACCATCATTATTGACATTTGTTTCACGTTTGTTTTATGGCTTATCATTTATCATTTGCCATTTAGTTTTAGCAAACATATGTAAATAGTGCAAGATAAAATTAATTTTAAATAGTGAAACAAAAAGGAATATTTCAAATTTAATACTTCATTTATCAATCGCTTTTCTCTCTTCGTCATATGTTCTTTTCTCTCTCTCTCTCTCTCTCTCTCTCTCTTTCACTTCTACTACCTGTTTATTTTACTGTTCAATCCATTTCTGTTTAATATATTCCATTATAATTTAAATATTGCATTTTTAATTTATTTTATATTTTCAGTTTTGAGGATAGTTCATCATTATCGAGTGGAATATCGGAAAATTTTGACGATATATCAACAGACGATCTTACTGGAAGGTTTGTTTTACAACAGATTTTCCTCCCTTTTTTATTTCCCTTTTTTTTGGAGATAAATTATTTATTCAGTTTAGTTTCACAAGTATTGTTTCAAAAATAGTTTCATGACAGCTTTTTGTACGACAGCTTTATTATTAGAAATATTACGGTGTTTTGAGCTTATATTTCTGAAATGTAAGCGCAAAGAAAAAGAAATGAAATCATAAAAGAATAATTAGATTTTCAATTATTACTATTTGTCTATTCAATTTTTAAATTAACACTTCTTTCATTAAGTGAAATAATCATTATAGTTTTATTTATTATAGTAATGTTACTTCTTTATTTCGGATGTAATTAATAATCTGTTGCTTATTATTTATTTATAAAAGCAAAAAATTTGTTTAGTAATTTAAATTTAGCATAATTAGATTAAGAGTATAGAAATGATATGATGTTATGAAGAGAAGATTATACTTTGATAAATTGATTAAGAGAATTGAGATTCAAAAGATTAAAGTTTTGGCAATATAAAGTAGGAGAATTTAGGATAGAGAAATAATGATTATTTAAATAAAATTAAGATAGAGAAATGCATACAGTATAAGATATCAATTTCTATGATGATAGCATAGGAGTAAAAAAAATTGGAATGTACTATCATGAGGTAATTTCAGGTTTATATTAATCAGTTAATTACATTTAAAAAAAGAAATGATATTATAGAATAGGAATAGTAGTAGAAATAACTATTGTTGTTTCTATGATAGTTGCATCTTTTTCTTTTACTTTTATTTTAAATAATTTCGCCGAAGATTGTTTTAATAAATTAAAAAACTTTATATGTTAATAAATACAAAAACATAGATCGGCGCATAATCCATAAATATTGAAATTAATAAAATTAGAAAAAATGGAACAGGTAACCGTATATGATGACTAATAGCTAAATAGAAATAACCTTATATGATGACTAATATATAAGTACCATTATATGATGATGACTAATGCCTAAATACAGGTAACTTTATGTGATGATGACTAACTAATGCATATAAAGAAAAGAATGACTTTTTCAGTTCTTTGTCTGATTATCCGATGGTAGCAACAGCAGCAGCTGCTGCAGCATATGGTAAATTAGGCAGTAGTTATCAGCAGGAGCAACAACAACAGCAACAGTACGCTGCTACAACTACTACTACTACACGACAATCACAGATACATACAAAACGTAGTTCAAGTCACAGTGGTGGTAGTAATTCAAATGCATTTCGATTACAACAGCGTCGTATGTTAGAACGAGAAAATATCGATCAGTTACTTCAAAAATGTCGCACAAATTATCGTGGTATTGCTTGTAGTACACAGGTAAATTTAACTTTTTCTTCTTATTTTACCTTGAACAGATATGAATATTTTTCTGATGATATATGAATAAAAGTTTTAAATTTAATAAAATTATGAGTTGAATCTTCAACTTTTTGTTATTTCTTGTTTTCATAATAATAAATTAATGGAATTCTAGATATTGTTTTTGATAGTGATAATTCACGATAATCATCATTTATTCCATTGTTTAACAAATGCTATCAATTAGATTTGCATAACTCGAATTGAACATTTTTAAAATTTTGCTTCATTATACATTAGCTTGTATATAATAATTATATAATTATCATACATTGCTGAAAAACATTGATAATTGATTACGTGAGTTTTTTTCCATTTCGAAGTAAATCAAAAAAATAAACAATAACAAAATTTATTTATAATATTTCAAAAAGGTCACATAGATGTATGATAAACAAAAGAAATATATATTTTGAACTCAATAATTTTGTCACAAATATTTATAGAGAATAGTTGAAAAATCGTTGGCAAAATTAAACGACAATGATGGGAATATGAAATAAAAAAAAAGAAGAGGAAAATGTTCATTAGTTTTATCGGATCATTAATCAGTTCACATTTGAAATGATCAAATGATCCGACAAAACTTCTTTTCCTAAAACTATTTTGAATTAATTTTATGACAGAAATTATTCTAAAATAATTTTTCGCGTTAAATAATTAGCTTTTATTAAATTAAATTTCATTGTATAATTAATGCTTGTATTTCAAAAGATTCATTGAAGAATATCTATTAGTTAGTATAATATCATCGATACTGTCCAATAATAGGTTATCAAAATTGGTATCATTTATAGTAATACTATATAATCCGTTGCAGCTGCTACTCTGATTCTTTTTTTTCTTTTTCTTTCCTTTTCAAACATTTTTACGATTCTTTTTTTCTTGCACTTTTTTAAAACATTTCTACGACCTTTTCAATTCTTATCTGTTTTTGTTACTTCTCTTTGTTGTTGTATAATATAGTTATTCATGCGCAGCTGTCAATTCTAACATTTTTGTTACCACCCTTATCATATCACTGTTATCAAAATTATCCTTAAATCTACATCATCATCATCATCATCATATTCTTTCTCTATTTTACTTATTCTACTCCGTAAAAATTACATTATTCTCTGATTCCTTTTTTCCGATTTTTTAATCCTGTCGTTTTTTTTTAATTATTTCTACTGAATGCTATTTGTAGGCTCCATCACGTTACAATGATTGTGGACAGCATGCAATCTATCATACATTAGGTGGTGGACATCCGATACCACAACTAACACTTAGTGATGACGGTGAAACATTATGTGTGAGGAGCGGTTCAACCCGAACATCATCATCATCATCATCACGTATGCCATCAAAACAGGATCATCAGGTTCAAGCTGGACCAGGTAGTTTTTCAAATTATTAAATGAAAAAATGAAGAGAAATATGAAATTGCTAGCAGTCTAATTATTCAGAATATATGCAACATTGATATGTTTCAATAATTATTTCTCCTTAAAATAAATGATTCTTAAATACGCTTGAAATTTGAAATAAAATTTTCATAAATATTATCATTTGCTTTTCTTCCTTATTTTCGTTTAATTTATTAAATTAATTCAAATAAAGCTATTTCTAACAGATTGGTACTAAATGAATTTGCATAATTAGGATGATTTTTTTAATGAGCAACTTACAGGTAAATATACCTACTTATAGGCAAATGTACTTATAGGTAAATGTAGCAACTTAAATGTACCTAATCACTTTTTCTCGTAATTTTAGCCAAATTCTTTGTCATCACTTATTTATTATTCATTTCGAACATATAAAATTTATACGCTAAAATAATAATTTAATAATTTCGAAGTTCTATTCTGTTACTAAAATAATATTTATTTAAAAATATTAATTTGAGAATTGGAAATTTCATTTTATTAGAGAAGTAATAATATTAATTTAAATGTTATTGAAGTATTTTGTATAATTATAACAATGCTACCAGCATTGCTACCAGCAATATTTGATCTTTCCCTTTTGGAGGAGACTCCAACGTTCGCCGCCCTCTTTAAACAAGAAATTAAAATCGAAAACATTCATTTGTTTTCTATTTGTCATCTAATATCATCCCATTTACCTGTTGTAATCTTTCCAATTCTTTTTCCATTTATTTCTAATAGACAATTTTCAAATGTTTTCTAAGCGATAATAATGGTACAATGATAATTTGGTTGATAAGGTGGTAAATTGGGGAAGAAAAAAATCCAGCAATGAAGTACACTTTAATGATTGTTAACCGATCAAAACGGAAAATACTTCAATATTTAAATTTATCAATCACATAATCAAATTACCATCCTTTTCAATTTTCTTTATCTTTATCATATTGTAATTAGCATATAAGTATAATAATCATTTCAAATGGACTTATTAAATCATTATTTAAATTTAAATTGAAATTTAAATTGAAATCTATGATCTATGATCTATGATGAATCTATGATCTAAAATCAATGATCTGAAATCTTAAAATCTACACTGACTTTAAAAGGAGAAAAAATTTTTTAGAACCTAAATCGATAAGTATAATTGTTATAAAAACTATGCTAATAGATTTGCTGCTAATAAAGAAATTGTTTATATCGTTGATTATATATCATTGACATTATAGATCTTTACGATAATTTCTTTCCTTTAAAATTTCTTATTTATTGAAGCGAATGAAATGAAATTATTTTATGACTGAGAAGCGGGAAAGCGAGAAGAATTTATGGGAAGTAGCGGGGAAAAGCAGGGAAGAAGAAAGGAAATGGATTTAGATTCGGCTTGCATTATAAATTTATGTTTTCCCTTTGCAAAAAGGATATCTTTAAAAAAAATAGAATTTAAAAAAAGGCATTCATTAACTTTGAAAGGATTAATGTGATCCTTTTGTTTTTACCCTTTTCCTCATTAGTAAAAAATGGTGCGATAGATAGAAGTTGAAAAAGGAAAGAAATTTTGCAAAAATTTTTAAAAAAGTTTTTTTTGTATTTCTGGCTGTCAAAAAAATGTTGAAAATTAATATAAAAAGCGAACGAAAAATTCAATTTCTTTTTCGTCGCCTTTTTGTTCTATTGTTTTTTGCAGAATTAATTAATATTTTAATCGTCAAAATAATTAATATTATAAATACATAATTATTAGGTATATTACAAACGATTGTATACTTTATCTTTATTTTTTAAAAAAAGATATATTCGGTTTTTTGACATTGAATGTTGCTGCAATTCTTGATTTCAAAAATTTGAAATCAATTAAAATAGTATACGTATTTTATTTTATCAGGATTTACCTCGTCCATGGCTGGATATCATTCATTGGATCGAAAAACACATCTAATGAATTACTATCGAATATCCGATGATAATCCATATCGGTACGTTCTTTTATTTAGAACAATTAGTTCTATAATTAATAATTAGAATTAAACAAGAAAAAATTGTTGAAATCATTTAAATTAAAACGGAATAATTTCAGTTGATTCTGTGAATATTTTTCCGGCTGATTATAAATGGTTTTTATAATCATAGCAATCCGGGTAATCCGGATCGTCATGATTATATGTCTGTTTCTAATCCTTTTATTCTCATTGTCATTGATTTTAATCAATAAATATTGGAGAAAAGTTAATCGGAAATTATAAGAGGGAAGAAGAGAAAAGAGAAAAACTGTGGATTAACCAGAAATTATAAGAAAAAGAATTTAGAATTGTTGGTAGTATACCATGAATAAAATGAATGAAAATAGTTCATTCTTAATGATTGCAAACAATTAATTTCAGGTTAGCAGCAGTGGGACAGGAAACATCTGCTGCCACTTTAGCAATGGTAAGTCCTCGACATATCGCATCAAATCGCCATCAGTTAACATTAGCGCATCAAAATGTGGAACATGCCTTGACCAATCGCCATAGTGTTGCTGGTTTGTCCTTCTTTATAAATTTAAATAAAAAAATCATTTAAAGTTATATCACATTAATTTACTATTATTTATTTATCTTGTTTCCTTTCTATTTATGATAATGCGATGCCTGATACTACTACATCAAACACTAACATTAAATTATTTGTTATAATTAAATTAATAATTTCTATTATTCATTATTTAAAGGATAATCAGAGCGAACTTGATCCACTATACCTGATACTATCAAACACTAGCATCCGATTATTTGTTATAATTAAATTAATAATTTCTATTATTCGTCATTTAAAAGATGATCAGAATGAATTTGATCTACTATACCTTGATACTATCAAACACTAACATTTAATTATTTGTTGTAATTAAGTTAATAATTCCTATTTATTTGTCATTTAAAAGATGATCGGAATGAATTTGATAAAAGAGAGTAAAAAATTTAATTACTTTTTGGCTTATATTATCAAAGTTTTCAAAATACTGATTATTTTTGAGTTTCAATTATTAATTCAAATTATTAGTCCTCACATATTATTATCATTTTGAAGGAAGAGTGTTAACGCTTCTCTTTTCTTTTCTAACAGAATTATCAATTTAACGATAATTTCTTATATTTTGATGAATTGATTGATCAGTTATAAAATCAATAATCGATTAACTTTAACTGATCACTTCAAACAAATTCAATTTTACTATAATATTTATAATGATACTATATGATATTCATATCAATACGAACAAAATATGCCTCAAATTTTGCGATATTTTTGTTATTTTTTGTATTTTGCATGCTAAAATTTAATTTCAATAAAAGTTTGCATTTATTTAATTTACCAAAAAAAAAAATTCATTCAATTGTTTAATTTCTTAATTAATTAACAGTGATTTTGCATGATGCATCATCATTTCGCATGTTCTTTATTTTCCATTTCTCAAGCGAAATTTGCTATCATTGCTTTTTTTCAGCTTTTTGAGAATTGTTGAAAGTCAAAAAATTTTTTAATTAACCGGCTATAGCTGGCTGTAAATGAAACGGTAGCATATGAATCCTCTCTATTTTCTTTTTCTTGAATTAATTAACTTTCCCGAATTAATTAATTAATAACTATTATGATTAAGCTTATAGCAAAATTTGGAGTATGCTTATTTGTAGTGCCTGTATATTTTGATAATTAAAGTTTGATTTTTTTGTTTGGGAAAAAAAATTTTTTTTTAAAAAAAACTTTTTAGATAAGAATTTTGCTTAATTAGTATAATTAATTAGTGTAATTATATATATTAAAAAAATAGCATTATAGAACTTTAAGATTAGGTATTGATTTGGCAATTGAATATTTCTCATTCATTTATAAACATGCGCACACATAGGCCTATCTAAACTGTCCAAGCCAATTATTAGCCTTCGTTATTTCATTTAATTTACTTATATAATCACTCATTAACTATTACTATCATTCATTTTTCTTTTGCTTGCCACTTTTATAGCTAGGCGAACGGCTTCGCTTTCCTCAGCTGGCATGTCACGATCGATGGTTTTGGTTGCTGGTAGTGGTTCAGATTCAAGCGGTGGTAGTTCACAACCCTCAACACCTGATAATACACCAAATTATCGCATTGGTAGCCGTTCACCACTAATGTATAATCCAAAAATGGTCATCAAACATATACCGCTTAGTATTGCGGCACAAATTCCGACAATTGAAAGAAATTCCACGAGTAGACGCACAGGTGGTTGTAAATCCCATATTATCTGCGTTCTTATCAGTTATTAGTATATACATATAAAATACTATCATTATCGTAGCCTTTTTATTTTTCTTGGTAATTATTTCAGTCATTGCTAGTATAACATTATTAGAATCAACCGGACGGTTATATGAAGGTCATCACAGATGACTGACGCATAGATCATTCGAAAGAAATTTGTTTACTCACCTGCTCATTTTATCTGATGACATTTTCATTAGGTCACTGTCAGTGGATGACCAAGAGCAGATGTTTGAGTCATCAATAGCCTATGAATTCAATCATTTGGTCCCATTCGGTCATCGGATAATAATGCATTATTAATCACTTGACACTTTTATAAATTTATTCGGTCATTTTTAAATTACTGTTCTTTATCTGAACATTATATTATAACATTTTAGCTCTAATTAGTTTTATCTAAACCTAACAGGCATGTTAATATTGGATGAATCTAAAAAATTGTTTCGATCTGTATTTATTTTAAATTATCAAATCCCAAATATTTCGTAAGCTGTTATATCTTCTTCCGTATTTCTCAGCAATTGCTTTCGTTATCTTCCTTATAACAAGTAATTAGCAATTCTCTTATAATTATGCTCCCTTCTACTACAATTTTTGCTAATTAACCATTGGTAACATCTGTTAAAAAGCTTCCTTACTAAGACATTACTTTGTTTTAATTCAAATTTCAAACTAATGCATGTTGTTTTGCTATTTGCATCCGCAATAGAATTTCAAACGTATATGAAATTACTTCAACATGATACATACTTGTTACACTTGATCGCAAAATGACAACACACGCTTGTTTCCGTTTCTTTCTTCTCTGCTTCTGCTTATTTCAAGTATTTCCATTATTGCAACTATTTCAAGTTCATAAAGCATAAATAACAGAAGAATGAGACTTTAATTAATTATTAATATATTGGAAGAATGTTTGATTTAAATTTAAAATGCTTCAAAATGTTACATATATATACTGAGTGAGTTAATTGCTTCAAACTATACTGTTCTAATAAATTATAAAATCTTACATTTGAAATTCAAAATCTTTGTTTTTCAAATTTTGAATAATATTATTCTCTTTTTTTCTAAAATCATACAAATTTCAGGAAGTTCATTATCAAGTCGTAAATCTCAAATGGAAAATACATATGCAAATTATGCTCACCGTGATGCAAATCTTCAACTTCATAAACTTTCTGATGATGGTATTAGGTAGGTATATATTAATTTTTATTCATCTTCTAAAATGTTAAATATTAAAAGAAAAGAGGAACAAAAAATTAGTTGATAATGATGAGAAAGAAAAAGGATATTTTAATTGATTAAATTGTTATCTACTATGATAGTGTGATAAGATTGTTATTAGTAAAATTTTATTTATCCGATCAATTTCATTTTGCTTTTCGTGCGGAAAGTGCAGAGAAGTACAGAAAAGAATAATCAATGAAGTTAGTGATGAACTAATTACTAAGTCTTAATAAAATTACAAATATATCCGACAATTATATAAGTAAGCTGTTAGCAATATCTTGGAAATTCTAAAATATCATAACGGATAAGTTATAAATGGCAGTACTATTTATTCATTACTAAACGCATTTTCAATATTTCTTTCTTTATTTTTTTTGATTAAAATCATCTGAAATTTGAATTAATTCGAATTTAAATTCAGGACACCACAAATGAAAACATCTCGTTATGCAGAATCTGGCTATCTTTCTGCAACATCAAAATTATCACCATGCAGTTCTGCAGCTGAAGCAAATGATTCACAACTATCCCTTACATCTTCCTCCAATTCATTGTATTCATCGGTATATATTTTGTTAAATTATATTTTGTGAATTAAACATATCCTGCATTAACGTTAATTTTCTTTTTCAAATCTTTTTCAACAACTGTTAGTTTGATAGAAAGATAGATACAAACGAAATTGAATTTCAAAAGAAATTAACTTTGCTTCATACTAAAGAGAGAGAGATAAGGAAATCATCCATTAAAATAATTAAGTTAATTAATTATTTTGTTCTAAATTAATACAACAACAAATTTATTATTTTTACAACTAACGAAAAATTTAATACTAAAATTGGCAAAAAAAATGTTGGATATTTTATTAATTTAATATGACACAATTTTTATTTTTGTTGTTTCGTTTTCTTTTGTTTTTAGTAACAGATTTTTTTTTGACAACTTTCAATTGTCAATATTTTTTGATACTTGACGAATTTAATATAAATTTCAAAAATTTTCAATTCAGATGGAAGAAAAATATGAAGCGGAAATTCGGAAGCTTAATAGAGAAATGCAAACATATCGGAGTACGATAACAAAATTAACTGCAAAACATGACGGTTATAATCATATCATTCAACTTTTCGAATCTAAGCTACAACTGATGGCAAAACATGTCGAAAATCTGCAAAATAAATCACAACTTAAGGTAGCTGGCATTCATCTTCTGATTTCACAAAATCTTTTAACATTTTGGGATATCTCGGAATGTTTGTTATGATTTCCCAAATAAAGTAATGAATATATCGAAGATAAGAATATAATTTAAAAATTATAGCTCAAATAATCAATGTATTTGTGAAGGATTTTATAATCTTTCATACTGCAATATTGATATTACAATCTATCGTATCATTACTTAAGTCATTTTGTTGTAACATTATAAAAAGTTATAGCAAAATAATCTTGAAGAAAATAATCAAAATATTTGAGAACGATTTTATGATCTTTCCTATTGCAACATCGATATTATAAGCTACCTATGATTGCCTAAATCATAAAATTTTTTTAATTTTGTATAATTGATACATTTATAATATTATATGATTAATGATAATATCATGTTATGATTATAATTGGTTGCTAACCTCTTAAAATATATATTTACAATATTTTAAATTAATTAAAATTTTATTATTTATTAAAATATCAATTAATTAGTACTAAAGAAAATATATTTTAGAAAGATGAAGTATTGAAATTGCGTTCTGAAATTGAGCAACTTCGTGTAATGAGTATTAACGCTGGTGTTAACGTTTCCGGTATTGCAACTATCACGCAACGTAAAAGTTCATCACCACAATCGGTTAGTTTTACATAAATTTTTGTTTATATTTAAAATTAAAATTTCGCTAAAAGTTATTCAAGAAAGTAAAATAGAAAGAGCGAGAGAGAGAGAGAGAGAGAGAGGAAGAGAGGGAAATTTTTAATAACGAATTTTTTGCTTAACCTAATAATTCCTCTTAAATTTTTATTAACCCTTTGTGCTTATTTCAGCAAGATGGTGCGGGTGAATTACTACGACATCCATCATTAGAAAGTGTCACAAGTCATCGATCATCAATGAGTTCGTCAAGTAAAGGAAGTAAAACGGATAAAAGTAGTTTGAATAGTTTCGGAAAACAAGGCAAAAAAAGTTGGGTAAGTGATATCGGAGAGAAATTTTTTACGGATAGAAAAATTTTTAATTGAAATTTTAAAAATTTACAATCATTAATTTATGAACGTGTTTAATATTTCATAATGAATATCGCCAGTATCCTTCTTGTTGTCAGCTTTTATTACAGATTCTTATTCCGCACATTGTAACTATTACTATTCGCTTTTTAATCTTCCTACTTTTATATTTATTATTAAATATAAGTTAGAAGTTATAAGAAATCATTAGTTGAATATGAACAGAAAATTGATTTGTCAAATTACGATATACTTACATTTAAAATAAAATTGCTACTTTGTGGTTGACGATTGATTACTATCATTATGATTAAATAATATAATTTTCTTAATTATTTTTTACAGACAGCAAGTGTTGATTGTCAGGTATTTTTAATTAATTATTTCTATAATTAGATGATTGGTTGTCCTTTTCCGACTTTACTATATTTTGTTTTAAATTTTTTTCGAAATTTTGACGAAAATTCGTTTATGGACTTCAGGAAGGTTTAACGCAAATAATTGTTTTGCTTTCGTTATTTTGTTTGTTTGTTTACTGTTTACATATTGTTAGTTATTCATATTGCATGTGTGTTTATGTGAATGATGTTGTTGTTGTTGTTATTTTACTATGTTTTTTGTTTTGTTAATGATTCACAGTTTTAACATGTTTTGTTTGTTAAAAGGCAAAATCTTAAATTGAAATTTGGCGATTTTCAGATAAGAAGTTCATTTTCGAAATTCACTAAAAGCAAAAAAGCGAAGAGTTGTTCGGTATCAGATGCCGAACATTCACCAATGCATACTTCTGGTTCACCATCAAACCTGAAACCGATTTCGGGAAGCGTTAGCAGGTTGATTTATTTTGTTATAGAAATTAAAATGAGCAGTGATTTTCTGTATGATAAATTTATTTTTGCAAATGAGGATTAGTTTTGAAGATGCTATTTGCATAATTTCAGGCTAGACGAACTAGAAACGGTACCACAGGTAGTGGAACTTAAAAAACAGCTAGAAGATAAGGATTCGGCATTGACTGACGTACGTTTGGATGCACTTGATAAAGCACGTGAGGTTGATATTCTGAAGGAAACGATTAATAGATTGAAAGTGAGATTTTTTTTTTGTAAAACAGTTTAAGATATGCTTTAGCGGATTGATAGGAACAATTTTACGAGTTGAAAGATAAGGTAAGGTATAAAACCGGATGCGATGCGATCAGGAAAGATTTAAACCTTATTAGTATTCAAGAAGATAGGAAAACGAGTTTCCTGATAAAAATTTGAACAAATTGATTAATTTTTTACTTTTCAGAACGAAAATAAGATTTTGAAGCAAAATTATACAATGTTGGAAAGGCGAATGAGAGCTGAAAGTCGAACCAGTTCACAACAGTCACTACCAACTCTACCGGATGAAGATCCTGTTTATGAAATACCGCCAAACAGTGAACGTTGCTTAACTGGAAGTAAGCTTTAAACTTGGATTTAACTATGTCGTTGTTGTTGTCCAAGTTAATTCTAGGTGATTACAAATTTTCGAGCATCGATGATATTCAGTGACTTTATATTTGATGATCATAAGCTTATATATTGCACAATTGTACACTTAAATACTGTAGAATTTCTCGTTATTTGATACAGAAAATACGAATTCACTGAATTCTGGAATTTTAGTTAAGTAGCTTTTAA